AGACATTTACATGTTACACGTGATGACGTGTTATCCCTTATAACCAATGCCGATTTCTGACTTATTTAAAAGCGGCATGGCAGGTATATATATATATATATATATATATATATATATATATATATATATATATATATATATATATATATATTATATATATATATATATATATATATATATAAGCATATAGTTTTGCATTGCGGCATATGAGTTATAAATACATAAAGTTAACACACATATTCATGGCATTTTCGAGGGTATCATATTAGTTATAAAGATTTTGAAAGGCTATGCAATATGGCCGTATATAAACGGTTGTTTGAAAATACATGTATAATACATAAACATACAATTTCTTATTAAATAAACAGCAGTCGTGTATATAAACTTTATAATACTGCATGTTTGTAACCGTAATTTTTCATTGGAAAATCGAGACATTTATTTAATTATAGAGATTTTTGGTTTATTTGTAACTTTATTTTCTGATTTTTACACACATGTACAAGTATAATAAAGAACTTCGATAGCTATTAATATTGCGAACAACCGTTTATATTATACAATTATTGACTAGTGAGCCATTGAATATGATGTGATATTCACCGTCAGATGACATATTGACCAAGGCGATAGCAGAGGTCAATATGACTTTTTGCCGGTGAATATCACATCATATTCAATGGCTCACTAGTCAATAATTGTTTTATTATATGAATAGGCTAAGAATTAAAAAAAAAATCACGAAAAAAGTACAACCTTATATACATGTACAAATTTTGCCTCGTTGAAGCGCGGGGAAAAAGACGCACGTGTTAGGCGTGCAACGACTACGAGAACGCTGCGCATACAAAAGTAATTCAAGTTTATACTCATCGATGCGGTTTAGCCTTTAAGTATAACAGTAAAGTAATGTTATTTCAATCGAGAAATATGCCATAAAGAACAAAACGCAACAATTATTTTTTAATTAACACACGTAATTAACAGTCTACGGTGTATGGTCATTGAATATGAGTCTCAATCTATATTTAGACTTGGAAAATCCAATTTAGCCAGTTAATATGATACTACACCCAGTGAATATGATTTTATAAAAAGTTATGTTGACTACAGTTTGGACCAATGAGATTGCAGCTATTTTTAGATCATATAATAAACGACCATATAACCTGTTGGATTTATTTGTAACGAACTCATAATACATCAAGCATTTTTTGTTAAAAAAAAATGAAATAATTTCATAAATTGACGGCAGCCATGTATTTAAAAAGTACATTGTATGTATATAAACGTCACGATTATCCAACAAACGTGCAGTATTATAAAACACATACACGCAAAATTAAGGAGGTTCGATAAAATTATATTCTTTAAATTAAGCATGATGCCAGAATATGATAACATAAACATTTTAGAGCGGGAAAAAAACTTAGGGTTCACCGATTTCATTTCCTGTACGTGAATTTGATTTTTTCCTTAATTGTGGTTATTTCAAGGTCATATGACTTAAATGTAAGTCTGAAAAATCTTTTTTCTCCCGCATATTACGTTATTTACTATATGTGTGTACATTATTAGAGAAAGACTTAATTCCATAAAATACTTCTATTACCTTTTTTTTTTATTTCATTTCATACTTTAAAATTCTTTAAACATATACCATATTTGAAACCATTTTTTTTATAAATGTCACAATTTAAGAAAAAGAAGATAAACTAAAGCTATTAAACGCGTAGGTCTTTACTAAAAAGTAATAGAGAAAAACTTTTCCTGAAATAACTCTTACGCTGTAAACATACAATTTATTTATATTGGTGTTCTCACTATATATGGTTATATAACACAGTGACATTAAATTTTCGTATTCAAGAAGCATGTTCTGTTTATCTTTACGAGTATCTCTTATACATGTATGTCTGTATGACAAAAAACGAACTTACGGTCTTTTTAAGTCCAAGGTTGAACGTGGATTATTCCATGATAATTATGGCTGAAGTAATTTTCAATGGAAGGAAAATGAAAGCGGGCCTCGGACATATATTTGTACGAGCGTATATATAGTAATTAATATCGTTTTAAACATCAAATAAACACGTTTCTCATATGTCAAAGTAAGAAAAGGGCTGTTCTCAATTGAAAAATGCCGTACGTCAAGTTAAATTCTTAAAATATAAAAAAATGGTATCGGGCCCACCGCACTGCGTTGCAATCGAATCCACCGCCGTCTGCGACGAAAACATTTTTTGTCATTTATTTTATAAACAGGCAATACTAATTTCCCAATTTTCCAAATTATGGTTAATTTGTGAAAGTATCATTGATTCGATGTGATGCCGATGCATTATGGGTCGTTTTGCACACATTTGTATGTGTTTTAACCAAAATTAGGCAAAAGTGGCGTCCCCTCATCAAACTGTACAGAAGTGTTTGCATAAACGGCAATGAATTGCACCGTGCCCGTGTAATAGGTTGAAAGAGTACATGTGTGGGCTCCAGTCTCACTGAGTGTTTCCAGTAAAACATTAAAATATAAAACAAAATTCAGTCATATACTTACCGAAAACAACAAACGGCCATATTTTATTCACCGCTTCTGCGACGAATACTCCACCGTCGCTGCGGTAGACCCACCGCTTCTGCGAAAGCTATGGCCAGTGTGATTTTTATAACGCCCAATAGTGCCACATTTACATAATTCAGTATTTTATTAACACATTTCTTATGGCAGATTTTATGTCGAGGTCAGTGGTTGTTATCAAACTTTTAGAATGTATAATAACAAAATATAATAAGTGCTAATACATGATTTAAGTACATTTATAAGGAGACAATAATTTAGGGTATAGTACAGTAATGAGATTTCATTCATCCACTTTAATATAAACAACTCTAAATTAATGTAATTACTCATACAGTTATGTTGTAGGTGTATATATTAGTACATTTTTTTATTTATTATTATTTTAAGTATAACATTCAATGCTATGAATATGCTGTTTTACTTGTAAATGTCTTAGAGATATTATTTATGTATATTGACATGTAAATGTGTATAATTATGATAATAAGGGAGGTAGATCTACAGTAGATATTATAGATTTCTGTAATATTGACTGTGGAGTTGCTCCTCTTATAAACTATAACAGTCTGTTACAATTTACTGCATGTATATTGTTTTAATTGTATATGTATGTATAGATCAGACTAGTATAAAATAAATAAATAAATTAAACACTTTTGTCTACAAATAAGCATAATTTGTGCTACAAATTACATAACAGATATAACAGTTTTGCATATTATTGGACGACATCTTAGACTCTGGAGAGCTGTGAATGCGGACTTTTGTGTAATTTTGCGCCCCGCGGGGCGGAAATGCGGCAAAATGTTAAATTTGTCGTATTTTCGTTTTTCTGTCCGGCGCCCTGATATGGCACAAATTGGCCACACTGTTACAACTTTTAGCGAGTTGTGATTCGCTTTTCACCCTTGGTATGCAATGTTCTGTATTAACTTGGCATACTCTGATCCATTATACAAACAATAAAAAGTAAAATACAAATTTTTAATTCAACAGACAACATTAACATATGTTCCGAGCCAATACAAACAAAGATGTTCAGCGACAAATAAGTTAAATACATTGTCATTTAATCCAAACATAGTAGCTCAAATTACATAAACAATTCTCACAAACAGTCTAGATATACAAATAGAAATACAATATTTATTTCTGAGAGAAATAAAAATTTGTATTTCTATTTTTATATCTTTGTATAAGATATTGGCAACATGAGGCAAATAAATATTAACAAGGTTTCGAGGCTCAAAAAGAATACATACACACAATTATGCATACAAAATATATGTAAAGTGAGAGTACCTTCAGTACTTATTACCACACAACATTTGTATATAATACATTTACACATATAACATGCACATTATTTTCATTATATAACTTTTTCAACAATATCCTCAATAAACAGACATATTTTTTCATATTCAAAAGTGCTATGGTTGTTTATATTCATTTTTTTAAATGATTCGTCTGATCGTAGGTATTTCTTTCTTTGATTATCAATTATTTACATTCGTACATTGTATAAGTAGACAAATTCGTTCTCAGCTGAGGAATTTCATAACGTAGATTTTCTCATATCATATTCTTACCCTTGCAAACATCAAGTTTAAACTGATAACTTATGGTTTGAATAACAACTCGTTTTTAATTCTTTACTGCTTCTTAATAAGAAATCTCAAATTCATCATATTATTTTGCCATTCAATTCAACACAGAAAAAAACTAATGATTTACAGATATGATGATTAACATAGATGTATTTATTACCCTTCCAGATTTTTTCCGCCTTTTTGATTGGATATTGATCACCCGAAAGAAATTGATATAACCGAGCCAGACGGGTAATATACACACTAAATTTCCCCGTTTGGTACCCAACGTTGTAAACAACATGCGCTGAGGTGATGCGCGTACGGTTCGATTTTACGCGGTGTAAATTCCGATTTAAAAGCACTTTTTAACTGTCAAATGATAAATATTTATCAAAGTAGAGTAATGATACACATTACCATCAGTATCGAAAACAAATATGACCTTGTGAAAGCTTGATATCAATAACAAAAAAGTGCGTTCAATAGACTACTCCTTTTCTCTTGTTTACTTTCGTAAGGTACGGGAAAAATACGTCATGTATTTATGTGACGTCATGTTGTGACGAAGAGGTATCCTAAAGGGAATCTTATTTCGACGTTTCATTTGAAACAGCAATGATTTTTTTAAAAATCGTCTAAACTCGGCAGGGGAATGGTAATAAAATTATTATTTTGGTTTTGGAGTGATATATGTGGATATATTACCTGCCAAGATAAAATATCACCCTCGCCTAACGGCTCGGGTGATATAAAGTCTTAACAGGTAATATATCCACATATATCACTCCAAAACCAAAATAACATATAATGTGTACGTATAAAATCAGTTTTGAAAATAACAATATACATGTATAAATAAATATTCTTACCACCATTATGTATTTTTGTAGCATTACAAATAAAAAGTGTGAACCAGAGCAAAACCATCTACATCCAAACTTTACAATATCTATGCCTGGTATTTGTTTTTTCTTGCGATAACACATAATCATTTAATCCTAATTATACACGGGTAAACAAAAACAATCATACAAACATACATCAATTTGAAAACGAAATACAACAACTCGTTACGATTTAAAGTTAACAATATAACTGTATATATGCCAACCCCTAGCGTATTGACATTTCAAGAATCAATTGAAAGTTCTGAAATTGCAAAGCGTTGCATGTTGAAATCAATATTTGAAATATTTGTTCGATGGGTCAATGAGAAGATACGAAAATTCAAACGTTCGGCAGATCGATATCGAAAATACTCCATCGATGAATCAGTTTGTGTCTTTTGTTTCCTTTAATTAAAAGAGTAAAACAGAATTTATTTCAAATTAAACTATAAGTTTATATAACATAAATAGTCAGGCATCTAAAATCTGCGGCTTAAAAGCTATGAAACTGTCACTGCCTACCAATATATAAGGCAGGGTTTATTTCTGGGTTTTGTTTTGTAATTTCCTCTTAATAAAATTAAACTGCTTCTGTAACTGAACGTTTTAATCGATTGTGTTTTTTTGTTCCGAAATACTGTTTTAAATGTTTGGTACTTTCTAAATAAATTTTATAACAAAATCAGTTTTAAGTAAAGCATGATCTGTAATCTACGAATATAATATATATGAAAATAGACTATAATAATAATGAAATACTTACATTTTTCTTTACTCCTGATCTATCGAACGTATGCGTCTGAAGCCACTTGTATTTTTGTTTTGAAAATGTATCTCTTATCTGAAATTGAATTCGTACTTCTGTTACATTGATGTTTTATTTTCGACATCAAAGTAACATATATTCTACTTGTTAATAATCACATTTTCATTTTTTGGTTTTGGACATTTTTTTAAATATATATGTTATTTGTTTTGTTTGTTTTTTGTTTTTAGATTTTTAAAAAATGAAAATACATGAACAGGTTATAAAATTGACAGTCTCACAATATAAAAGCTCGCTCGTTTGGGGGGCCGCTTACGAGAAAATATAAGAAAATGAACATTTTGAACACTCAAGAATCTTACACCGAAAGGAGGGAAGTAAAACAAAGAGGTGCATATCAGAACTATCTAGGCTAGATAGTAATAAAATCTACAGCCGGTTGTCAAAGTTTTCTTAAACCATTTACTTGACCCAAAGTCTTTATCGTTTAGCCTAAGCTTTAAATAATATTATAAAATATCAATATAGCTCCTAACAGTAGTCAAAGATAACTTTTTTTTATAAAATTATATATACTGGGTGCAATATCATATTCACTGGCTGGACTGTATTTCCCAAATCTAAAAATAGATTGAGACTCATAGTCAATGACCATACACCGTAGACTTAATAACGCGTGCGCATTAAAAATAATCCTTATGGCATATTTCCCGATTAAAATATTATAACTAGACTATTATAGTTAAAGGTTACGCCGCAATGATGAATATAAACTTGAATTACATTACTTTTGTATCGAAGTCGTTTCACGCCTGACACGTGCGTCTATTTCCCTCGCTTCAACAAAACAGTCAAACGTCAAACGTTGTATCGTTGTACGAATTAGGTTCTATTGTCGTGATTTTATCATTCTTAATCTTTTCATATGATGAAACAATTACTGACTAGTGTTCCATTGAATGTGATGTGATATTCAACGACAGAAAGTCATATTTACCTCGGCTATCACCTCTGTAAATATGTCATCTGATCTGCAAGTGAATCTCACATCATATTCAAGGGCACACTATATATAGTCAATATTAATATAATAATATTTGTTGTATTACTCATCCGGTTATTTTGTTTATTAAATTTAATCAATGCTATAACGTTTTCTCTTTTTCAGAATAAAAATATTTAAACAAACATAACATATATTTTACGTAAACTATTAATATGAAAGTCATTCATAATAAAAATATCGGCGAATTTTTATGAGGTTACCTTCTGGTCCATCAGGCAATGAAATATGAAGATCACCAATCCCTGTCAAAAATATAATTGTGCACATTTAAAAAAAATCATGACGATGTTAGAAAAACTATATAAAGCAATATTTAACACCGTAGAGCAATATATTTAAACATTGATTAATATAATAACACCGACGTACATGTACTATAGGAAAAACATGAATATTTAAGATAACAAGTTCAATATATATATACAAGTTTCTAAAACCTACAATTATCAATTGATAAATACACGTTAACTATAAACATATCCGCTCAAACTTTTCCAATGAAAAATAATAGCAATCATCATTTTATTATAATTTTTTTTCAAGAAATCTTCATCTGGAACTTGTACTTTGCTTAAGCGGATGATGCTAAGTGGAACAAAACCGCCTTGTATGGTCCTTTTTAGCAAAATCAATAATTAATAGATAAAGATACTCTGATAATCATTGCAAATTTGAACTTCATGCCTCATTAATTATTTATTTCCTAACCTGCTTATCCGTATTTGTGTTAAATTAGTTTCCTTGTAGGGCTTAAACTCACAGACCTGGGGTTAAGAGGAAGAAACCTTAATTTACAGGGCAACCCCTTTCCTGTTTTCCCCTGAATTAATTTAACCCATATGTTAAGAAAATTTTATACGAAATTTGATTATTTAACCCCAAATGGGGATCCCCGGGAAACTTTTTAAAAAACAGCAAATATTTTTGGAATAACTGGTCTTTATTTTGGAAGGCTCAACCCCCAGACCCCATCAGGGAAAGCCCCAGAAAACAACGTAATGCTGCTTAAAATGACTAATATAAATTATACTTAATTTATTTCAATTTTGATATCATTTTTTATAATGAAGTTTTTTAAAATTTAGTTTTACTTTTCCCTTAAATTTCTTTAAATGTTCTCACTACATTATTACTAGAATTTCTTTTCTTTCATTTAGAGATGTTTTTTTTTTATTTTTTTAAAAATTACACAAGAAATAAATATGTTTCTCAATAAAATAGAAGTTACATAACTATTAGATATACATAAAGGGAATGTGGACTTAAAGTACTGAAATCAAAGCATATGAATATAAAAACGATTATACGAACAGAGAAGTTATTTAATAAACAAAAACTAAATTTTCAAAAGGGGCATTAAAATTACGGCAAAAAATTTTTTGAGAAAAAAAAAATTAAAAAACTAAAAAACTCAAAAAGGACAATATATTAAATTCCCCGTCCTTTTTTGATTTCTTTACAAGTTTTGTTTGCCGCACATTGTAAAATCACAGAAAAAAGATTAAATTTTTAAAATATATAAAGGAAAAAAGATATGTTAACTGATAAGTTTTTTTTATTTATTTTTTTTATTTAAAAAAGATAAAAACCGATTTTTCCCCCCAAAATTTTTCAAGGACGAAAAGGTGTGTTGTCCCTTAATTTATATTCCTCCGGAATTTTGTTTTTGGGCAACATACAGTTAAAAGACTATTAAATCTAATGTATCAAAAAAAATTATAACCCCAGGGGCCCGAGGGTTCTTTAGTGTAAGTGAATGCATCTTTGGCACAACTTAGTTGGATTAAAGGTTGATTAAACTCACAACTCCTGGATGTACAACTAGATTATGCGGCGCTTTTTAAAATCTGGAAACAGTGATCCCTCGGAAGCATTAATCACAACAAAATTAAAAGAGAATTGTAGACTCGGTTTGATTGAGTCTAAACATAATGAATACGCGCAACATCTCTCACGCCCCCTCGCACCGACTTAAGCGGTACTTAATTTTCAACACTTAATAGTGCTGGCATCAATGATCCCGAAGGACCAGAAAAAAATAACATCACGGAAGTGAAGTACGGGGCAACTTTTTACAGCTGCCACACAGCACTTGACACCCGCTGTTGTGAAGTATAAAAATCTGGAAACATTGATCCCTCGGAAGCATTAATCACAACACAATCACAAGAAAATTGCAGACTCGGTTTAAACCGTAAAATTGCCAGATGAAAGAAGCTTCGTGTGTCATGTAAAGCACGAATAAATAATACGTTGTGACATAATATATATGTAAGCTATATCATGTTTCTCTATTTTAAAATGTGCATTAACGGATGAATCACGTGTGTTGATTTTCAACATGAGTGACTCAAAGCAAAATATAACAATAGCTGACTGCAATGATGGAATATTTAAAGGCTCTTTTATGGCTTTACAAGTTAACAAGCAATAAAGTATACATACCAGAACAACAAAAAAGACCGGAACAAGAAAAGCCCATATCAACCCAGTCTCAGTTGATAACCAGCATCTGGAACAAATTATCATGAAATTATATCATTTACATCGGTAACATTATTTAACCCTAAAAAACTATTATACAATCCTACGCGGGTAACATTTTGATAGGTTTTCCAACTTAGATATAATTTTATATTGTAATTGTTTTATTATTTTTTCTCCCAGACATTACTACGACATGTTTTGAATTTTATATTTATCCATTTCTATTGTTGCAATGTAAATAATATAATCATTTCAGCACCATTATCAGTACAATGTGGTCGCTCGAAGCACTCATTCATAAAAGGCTTCAGTTGAAATTGTTTATTGTTATTATTATCATTATTGAGATAATTTTATTATTGTTATTATTTCTTACAGTTTTTAGTTTTCATGTATAATTTTAGCGACAGGAGGGTGCGAAGATGGACAAGCTAAAACGAAAATCCATATTTGAAAAGAGTTATTGACTTCCTTATTTTGTAATATCAGTCTGTCTTGTCTTTCGGCAATCAAAAACTCAGCTTTGAAGTATGATGCGTAGATATTGACCATGAATACAGTAACTTTTATGGCATTATATTTGTTTAATTTAAAATTATGTCAACAAAATGATATATACTTACGCCTGTTCGGATCCATATCCGTGTAGCTGTGTTACACCCGTAGATATCACAACAATTATAACAGCGATGACTTAAAAATATAAATTTATTGACATTTTTTTTTTTTTTTACTATTAAACTACATGTATAATCAGTTTTTTTGGCTTTTTCATATTACATTAATCACTATGTTTTATTACTTTATTCTACCATCGGGATTAAATTTTTGCTTTATGTAATCTAGTTTATTACTAAATGGTTTTTACAAAAATTTTTTTCTTTTGAAATTTTAGGGAAATATAAAAATTGTACACTCTGAATCGTTCCTGAAGACCGGGGTTTTTACCAAAGGGTTAGCCCCCGGGCTAGGAAAAGGTTTTTTTAAAGAATAGTTTTGTGATTTGATTCATGTGGTAAATGAAATTTATTGATTTTCATTTAATACAATTTTTGAAACCCCACAAATAATAAAAGCAAAGACAGACAAACGCCTGTCAATTATTCGTCCTGAACTGAAAATACAGTTTTTTCAAACAAACAAAAAACATGTAAGATTTACGTACAAAAAATACGATACTCTTTTTTTTTAAAAAATCTAAAATAAAATTAACGTTGCAAAAGCAGTTTTTGATTATCCCCCGAAAAATCCGTCACTGGGGAATAATTAAAAATAGCTCATATTAAACTATTTTTATCCGAAGAGATAGCAGGGGATCGTGGGACAAAAGCAGGTTTTCCCCCACTATTCGGGTGAATAATTTTTTCTTACCCCCCCAGAAAAAGGAGGGAATATTTTGTTGAGGACATTTGTCTCTATTGTTTATCCTGTCGGGGGTTTTTCTGAAAAATCTTGTCTAATAATTTTATTAAACAAATAATAAATGAAGGTTGTAGACAACAAATTGGAAAAATTAAATTTCAGTAACTGTTTTTAAGGCAAAAACAGAACGATTAAATAAGTGGAAAACATTTTCTTAAACTTTGTATAACATAAGAGAATCATGATTGAAAGAAATTTATGAAACTAAAACTAGTCACTAACATCTATAGTTTTCTGTCCCTAAAAGTGAGTTTCATGCTCTTAAGCGTCATTTTCAAGAACAGATGACTAATTTTCTTCTCTGATTTTTAAAATGAATTAATAAAATTTCTAACAAGAGGACTTCCTCAACTTATGATTTTAACTGATATATCATAAATAGAAATATATTACATATATATACTTATGTACCATATGACGCTATCATTAGTGGTATGCCAGGTTTTCTAGAACTTAAAGGTTTTAGAACAGGAAACGAGATGCTGCATCCCTCTGTCAGCATTCCGAAGAAAACGACCAGAAACACAAAATGAAGAAGTACCGCAAAAGCAGTGCAAATGTCCTAAAATTAGTAAAAGCGTTCAAATCTTCAATACATCGTCAAGTTAAAAATGAAATGTTTCTAGCAGAAAATGCGACAAACAAACATTTTATAATGAAACTGGAGTCTTTTACTTAATACAACAAGTAGTTTTTACAAGCTCATATAATGATAATTGTTTATATACATGTATTGTTCAAATGGTTACTGTATATTGCAAGATACAAAATTATCATGTGATTTTCAAATAATGCATAAAGACTTTGTGCTGTTTACAACAAGAAAAACTTTCAAGAGAAGAAATATACTTTTAAAGAACGAAATAAACGAAATAATGTATTTAAAAAGTAAAATATTGTGAAGTAATTTAAGGAAGCAATTTAAGCAATACAAACAGCACTCACAACTCATGTTAATTACATAAATGAGGACAAAGAAAAAGCCTTTACTGCGTTTGTAACAGAGTAGAAATATGGTTATAGCTACTGAAAAATTAGTCATTAGTCGCACATAACATGTTAACTATTAGTTAAGTCTTTAATCTTATTTTCTTTTCCTAAAATCTTAGAACACTTTTTAAGGTTTAATTTCATTGAAACATGTATGGTCATCTGGATGCATGCAGCTTTATAAGTAGAATCGTTATAAGAATGATTTTTAAGTGAACCTATTATTCGTCTGAAAGGAATATATATAATTTTTTTCCTAGAACTTTTTAGTATATTCGTCTTTGGTTAACCTTATAAGATCAAGACTTTACCTTGTTTTCTGTTCTGTTAAATCCGACAAGAAACAGGATATAAGCCACAATTAGCCAAATGGATAAGTTTGTATGAACAATTGTCCGGACCGATTTAACGAACCTGAAAAGGATATTACCTTAAATCTTGAATTTTTGAAAGTGGTCGTATAAATATAGTAAGATCATACGCTCGTAAAATAATCGGCATAGATCGTAAGCTTTCGTGATTATAAAGCTCTTTCTATCTTCAATGTGTCTACGAATGTTTGAATAGACTTGCTAACTAAGCAAATATAAAATACCAAAAGAAAAAGACTAACTGCTGAAAACTAGCAATCTTTTAAATGTGTCAACTACTAGCTTTACACATAATCATAATACTCGGATCGTGACTAATTTGATCACGCTTTAATTCTCTTTAATATTAATTTTTTTCTGTTGTAGATTTTTGTGTTATTGTGTAATTTCAAACCTCCAGAAAAAAGCGTGTATCGCTACACTCAAAACTAGAAAGATCATGGAAACGATGCATCCTATTTTAGATATGACTGATAGAGCCTTGGTGTGATCCTCGTTTATCTGAAAAAATAATGTATTTCAAACAAAATTTAAATGCATAGTTTTTGAAAGTTATTTTTTTTTACTGTTTATATTTGAAAAAAAAAACGAGTAGTCGATTTCAATTGCAACTAATGTTATAACTAGAAGATATAATTCCATTATTTCTTCTTTTTCTAGATTGTATTGCAAAAGAGGAGTGAAAGAAACTTTCTTATTTCCATATTTAACTGATTAACATGAACTGATCAAATGTAAATGCTTGACATGATTGTAACATTGTTTATTTATTTGAAAAGCTTTACGACACACTGGCACTATAAATATGGCATATTACGATATTCTGAATAAACTAAATGCATTTGACATGTGTGCTATAATTTAGGGCAAATGCGAGTACCGTTGTAGTTCCAGTCTCACTTTGTTAGCTCGTAATGGTTAATTATTGGTCTAACACGCGCAACTTTTTACTAAATTAAATATGTCTATATAATTTGTTGTTATCTGCCTGTGAGAAAAATGATTTTTTGTTAAGAATTGATTTTTTTTACATAATATGATAGTTTTGGTAAACAATCTGTTCACTTATGTTACAAGCGGCTCTCTATACATCAGCATAATCAAAACATAACCATTGTTAGATCAACGGTCTTTTTACACGTTGAATTAACATGAATTATAATGATGTGACATGCATACATTTAATGCAAACGTTTTACATACCGGTGACACTGATGGACTCATTAGCAATGCAAAATTAGTTAGATGGTCGCAAACGCAAACAACAACATCTTTGTTCTTGACATCTGTTTTCTGTCGACATCCCTCATCAGACCAATAACCTTGTGACGTTTTGCTTCATAATGCAAGAGAACAATAATACTTCGTTAATGTATTGACTCTCAGCTTATAGGCTACATGGCTTATATTTATTATCGCCGTTATTTAAAGTGTTAAATGTCGTTTTTTCTGAGATTTCGACGTAATGTTAATACAAAATATCCGTTTTATCCTAAATCCAGAACTTAACATAGGGCAAGTGTAAAATCTCTGTTAAACAAAAATCGAAATCTTATAAAAATTACCTTCAAAACGTTTATGAATCCAAGATGGCTTCCATTATGGCCACCAGGTTTATGCAAAACTTATGATTATATTTATCAGTAGATTTAGCTGCTAAGATTTTGCCGTTTTGGGTAAAAAGTAGTTTAAACATTTTAAAGATGATTGTGTATTAATAGCAATGAAAATGTAGCTATTGACAAATTTCTTTTTTCTTGCATATTTGTCAGATACGTCCAAAAAATTTAAAAAGTCTAATACTGTGCGTTATTTCATAAACACTGGCCGCGTCCGTGTGATTTATAACTGCTTATTATTATCAGTATTCGATTTTCAGAACACCATTAACCGTACATTATTTTTACAGAAAAACATTTTTGTTATACACACTTATAATTTTAAAATTCAATGCAACATGACAAAAATACGGATATTTAATTGTCTAAGACTATTAAAGCGACATTATGTTCATTTTTCCTCTATCAAGATCACTTGAATAAGGAATATATTTCAAGAGATTGGCTGATATAATGGTGATTGACCAATTATCACTAATCAAAACATTTTGTAGGATAAAATATTAAAATCCTACCTAAACTGTAAAAGGACTGTCCACTTTTTAAAAATTGAACGCATCAATACATTCTGAACCACATTTAAAGAACTGTCCGTTGCGCAAGTTGTTTGGTGATATTTTTTTCACAGTAAAGTTTGACACAATTATGGTAAAAAGTAAAATTATGTGCACTCACTTTTAACACTTGGATTTGCAATATGTCATTTACATAAAATGTGATTCCTAATAGTAGGGACATATGGAGTTCTAAAAAAGCAGCAAAGATTGCTAAAGTTTTGAATAGCTGCTTAACATTAGTAGGATGAGTTACCTCTTTGGTTCCTTCCAAAAAGAACATCTCGCATTATTAAATGTTTTCTGTAAAGTGAAGAAAATAATAATATTTAATGAACATTTTACAACAATTCAGAATATTTTTTATTATTTATTACTAATAATTGTGTTCTGCTAACGAAAAAGCAATAAAAAAATTATTATAAAAGAAAACTAAAGCACATCTTGAATTTCAAAAGCAGATTGTAAGTTATGGAACTGTTTACTTCTTTTCTGTTCTTTAAACCCACTGGCTGGTAACTTTACCAAACAATCGACCACATCCATGAATGTTATGTAGATGTTTAGCATTTATACACATATACACATGTATTTGGCTATTTGCCGGTAATGACGCATACCTTTTTCCTTTAGCTTAGAGATGTTTACATGTTTAAGTGACTTACAAATGAATTCGACCAATCTTTACGATTAATAGCTAGTTCTATTAAAGAACGGACCAAGGTAGATTATATTCAGAAAAAAAAGCTTTTCAAATATAGGCTGAATGAAACGCAAATAGAAAATGCTTCACTGAAAATTATTCGTACTATTTGGGATATGAAAAAGGTTACTTACATTATACAACTGAAATTTAATTTTAACCGGGCTTGCAAGCTGTCGCTCATGATTGGGATATAATGTAAATGATATAACTGGAGCATTCAGCTGTAGATCCTCGGACCTGTTAAGAAAGCAAGAAAGAGACAAAGTAGTTTCTTTAATAAAAGTATAAATAAGAATTTAAATTTATTTCAAAATTGGGCATAAGATTATTTCTAAATAGATAACTTATGCATACGATTCCAGAACAATGCTATAAAGTCATCGTCGGAACCAACGATATCTATTCCTTTTATACTTTTATACTAATTTCATTTGTTATGCGGTTAATAGCCTGGGTTACCAAGGATGCTTTAAAGTAAGCCTCTAATCACTTTATTCTACCTTTTCTAAACTCTTCCTCCGTTGAATCCGAAAGTACTTTGTCGCGAGTATAGAGCCAGGCCATGCAGTCTGACTAAATTCAAATTGTCTACATATCACAAAAAATCGAGAATGAACAGTTCTAGAAATTGAAGAATGACAACTCTATTTATGGCAGTGTGCATGATGTTACTCTCCCTTCTTACGAAATAGAAGTAAAAATACATTTACAATTTTATGGTTAAATCACTTTGGCAAATACAATAACTTTATTCATAAAATGTTTAATTAATCTTCTTAAATAAATAATAATAATCAATAAAAGTAAACCTACATAGTATTGTTAGTTGATGGTGGAATAATCATTGATAGATTTCTGTACATTATTCCACTAAAAGACTCAACTGTGCCTGCAAAAATAAAACATCATTACACTATTGAAAGTAAAGTTGAATCATTATGTACTGATATTGTGCATATAAGATATTTAAGTAGTAGTGAAAATTATAAAAAGCCATTAAATTATTAATTAAAAGGCAGCTTAAGTAACACGTTTATTCTTTAAGGATATTTCTAGCATGCGTTGGAAGCACAAGCTGAGCCTTAGTTCATATGGCCCTAGCGCTCTCATTTCATCAGGATAAACTACTATTTGTTCAAAAGCGATCAGATGACAAGACTTCTTGCTGCTATTGACTAAAAAGAAAAAAAATAGCGGATCATGATTTATATAAATCCATATAAAAAACCTTCATTTTAACATATTACATTTATTTATAGATTTTCAAATGCGAATGTATGTTTGCATGTGTGTGTGTGTGTGTGTGTGTTTGTGTGTGTGTGCGTGCATCCGTGCGTGCGTGCGTGTGTGAGTTTTTTTTTTGTGTATGTGTTTAGTAATAGTTGTTTTTTTTTGTTTTGTTTTTTATTTGTTTTTTTTTCTTTTAATTTTTAATTTCGATGATCTTGACAGTTCTTGTCCATACCTCGGCAATCAGCTTTCCAAATTTTAGTCAATAATAATTTCTTTGCAAGTAATTGACTATATATTCTACATGATAAGACTTTAAACACTTCGGGTTATTTGAGACCTCAATTTCCGTAACAAAGTAAAAAAATACATTTACATGACTTTACAAAGAATAAACACGTGATCATAATGTTCAACAACAATCGCATTGTTTTTCGCAAGCATTGTTTTATAATAAAGTGTTACGTACTATCACAGTCAATTTCCAGCCTATCCTTTCTTGATCTAGCCCAATCAGGGATACCTTCATTTTCACGCTTGGGGAAATTAAAAGCATTCTTAGAAAATTGCACTGATCCCATATTTAAATCTGAAAAATAATACGAAATTAGTTAATGCGTTTGTACCTTATAAATCATCCCAATAATAGGAAAACTCCAAGTGCATATTGATTATCTATGATTCTAAAATCCTTCTTAGGATCTAAAATTAAATAAGAAGTTCTAATGGAGGAAGATAAAGCTCTTTGTTACATAGAAATTTTAGGAAATGGAATTGGACGCAGTCCAATTTTTGAGTCTACCCAAAACAATTGTATTTAGTTAAACCTTTTGTCCTCTAGTAGAAGTACATTATTTTTTTCTAGTATCCGCCATGCAGAAAAGAGAACATTCAAATATTGTTACTCGGATAGAATTTACTCACATAAATTTTCTGTAACTTTGAAAATAGGTTTATTTCTAATTTACTTAAAAGGCGTACATAAATTTGGCTTTGATATTTTAACAGTAACATTTTTGGACGTTGTCAAGATCTTCTCCACAAAACGATCTGTTGTCTTCAGAATACTGTCCGCCCCGGAACCTGTCTATATAAAACAAATCATGATCAGAACACTGTCCGCCCTGGAACCTGTCTATATAAAAACAAACCATTAGCAGAACAATGACGGTCTTTGAACCTCTCCAAAAAGATTATACCATAATAAGAATGTTGTGCGCCCCAGACCTGCCGTTTAATTAATCAAACTAACCATAATCATACCAATGCCTGCTCTGAAACCTTTCTAAATAAAACATGCCATATAATCCGAAAAATGTGTGCCCCGGAACATGGATAAAATCATTCTTTATAAAAAAATACTAATATTATTCTTAGAGTGATACATTTACTGCTATCACTAACTTATGTGTTATAAAAAATATAAACGTTTCTAAACTGGATTGAAGACGACCCATAAGAAAAATCAGATTAACTACATGTACCATTATTATCAGTCAATTCGTTTCGAAAAGGAATACATGTAAAGTAAGTAAAAAAGGACTATCACAGATTGATAATAATGCATTCATTAACTAGTAGTTTAGGAGGGTTTTTTTGCAATATCTATTTAGTATTTTTCAAACACTCAAACAGTGTAAAATGTTAGTTGTTTATTTAAAAAGCGAACCCTTAGATAAACGAAATTGCAAAATGTTGTCACATAGTGAAATTGCATTTGGGTGGGCTCATCAAAAAAGTCATTTTCTTTCTCATTTTTAATCTCTTTTTGTATCTTTTCAAAAATAGAAAAATGTTAGCGCAAGTTACACTACTGACCGGCTCACAAACTCGTCAGCTTTTCAAATACTACTATGATTAATATATTTAAAATTTCTTTGAAAAATTGAAAAAAATAATGATTGCATATTTTCAGTGCAAGATAATCCGTCACACAAATTAAGTATGGCAATGAACTAGAAGTTAACTTATTGAATGTACAATCCCATTTAAAAATAGGATAAGTCGTTTAAACAAATTTAGGGGGGGGGGACGCCACCAGTTGCATTAAATTACCTTATTTATAATCGTCTTCCATGTCTGTGTGGTACTTTCGTCAAGAATATTGTTAACTGTTTGTATATATGACTGAAACGCAGAAATGTTGCATTATAATTTACAAAACTTTGCAAAACTATTTTTCTGATGCTTTTATTTTGTTTGATATAAAAATGAGTACAGTTTTAAAGTTAATTGTTACTTATCTAAACATCAAAATCCTATCATCATACTCTGTTTTTCCGGCAGACAAGAGTGTCGTTCTATAGGCAGTAGCTATAACACTGCATTACATATATATACCAAAGCGCTAAAGTTAAAGGTCCTATAGGGGATCTGGTATACAAATATTTACATATTAAGATACATATCTTACCTATACTCTACGATATTTCCGGCAGACAAGAGAGTCGGTGTATAGACAGGAGCTATAACACTGCATTACATATATATTTCTGCAAAAGCGCTAAAGTTAAAGGTCCTATGGGGGATCTAGTATACTTTTATATCTAGTATATATTTTATTCGGTGGGAGATACTGTGTTCTCAGTAACAAGATGATTTTATTTATATCGAGCAAATTTGGATAAAATTGTGAGTATTTTCTTTAAATTACGCATAGATTTAATGTCTAGTTAAGCAAAATGTGATGAATGATATTAACTTGACATAAGACAAAATAGGAATAATGAAGGTTTAAGAATTTTGATGTAGAAGTTAAAAATAGCATGTTTGCAGACGATGCAACTATAATATTAAAATGGTAAAACCAAACAGCTTTGGAGAAACTATGGACATATTTGAACAATTTTCCTTTATTTTTGGTCTTAAACGTAATTGCAATAAATGTACAGTTCTAAGAATAGGTTCACTTAGAAATCAACATGATTCAATATATTGTAGAAAAAATACACAAACATAATTTGGACCTCCGAATGTGCAAAAACATTAGGCATTACTTTCCATTCAAAATGTGATTTAATAACCAAACTAAATTACAAAAATAAATTAAAACCAATTAAAAGCAGACATAAATAGATGGAGGGCAAGACGTTTAACAACAATTGGCAATATATCAATCTTAAAATCCTTAATTATTTCAAAACTAACCTTAATAAAATCTGTTCTTCCGAGTCCACCAGAAGAAATTATGAAAACAATTACACAAACTGTTTTGAATTTATATGGCACTCAAAAAGAGACAGATTTATAAATATGATAGACATGGCAATTTTTATTCAAGCTGGATCAAAAAAATATTTGATGAAAATAACCATGGATTGTGGACAGAGATAAAAACGAAAAATTTACAAAAATTTGGTGGAATCGACTTATTTAAAAGTAATTTAAACACAAATGATATACAGAAATTAAAAGTCGAAAATACTTTCTTTAAAGTATAACTACTGTCATGGAGTAAAAATAATTTTAATAAAAATCCACAAAATCTATTAGACGAAATAATATGGCATAATTCACACATAAAAAAATAATGGATCTTTATTTCTTTTTCCAAACTGGAAATGTCGAAATATCAATACAATAACGGATATTTTTAACACTGAAACAAAACAATTTAAAACCTTCGACCAGCTGAAAATTACTTTTGACATTCCTGATACAGAAATATTTAATTTTATAAATTAATTTCAGCAATAACCAAAAAATGGAAACTACAACAAATTAATCAAACTTCAACGCCTAAAAAAATAAGCCTTTTTGGGGCGTCCGTGGCCGAGTGGTTTAGGTCGTTGACTTCAAACCACTTGCCCCTCACCGCTGTGGGTTCGAGTCCCGACAGGGACTTTGGATTCTTTCATGTGAGGAAGCTATCCAGCTAGCTTACGGAACGTCGGTGGTTCTACTCAGGTGCCCTTTCGTGCCTGAAATAATGCACGGAAGGGCACCTGAGGTCTTCCTCCACCAGTAAAGCTGGAACGTCGCGATATGACCTATACTGTGTCGATGTGACGTAAAACCCAAGAAACAAACAAACAAATAAGCACTTTCGATATCATAGAAAAAAACAAACAAGTCCAATATCAGTAAAAAGTTAATACAGATTCAAAATAAAAAAAGACAGTGTAAAAATAAAAAAAATCGCTAAATGAAATGGGAAGAACGATTTCCGCAAAAAGAATTTCAATGGCAAAATATTTCCGAAAATGTTTTTGTTTATTGCAAAGATAATATTTTACAAAGCTTTCAATATACTTTTTTACACAGGAATATTGCAACAAACAAATTTCTCCTTCAATGTAAATTAACCGAATCTAGTCTGTATGATTTTTTCTGTATGTATGTTGAAAGTATAGAAACTGTACAAATATCCTGGATTAATTTATTCAAATGGCTTAATGAAATAGCAATAAATGTTACGTACGACAATTTTACATCTTTCTTTCATGCTAAAGATATGAAAACATCGAATGTTTTTCTCTTTTCAAAATATTACATTTATACCAGTAAATTAAAGAAACAAACTCCATATATAAGTATCTTCAAATTTTTTTAAACAGATTAAAAAATGAAAGATTTATTGCGTTAAAAAATGATACATTAGAAGAATTTGAAAATTCCTGGATAAATCATATTCAGTTGTTTGATATCTAAATAGTACATGCAGAGGAAAATACTACCAAAGCAGTTTATTTACTCTTTTTGCCCCTTTTCTTGTGTAATTGTGTAAATGAATGAACCTCTTAACTTTAAAATGTCTAATACATTCTGATAGGATAATTGGATCAAAAACCAACACAAATTAAGTATCAAAACATGTTTCTGATATAATACCCGACTAAAAACATAGCAAAACAAACTTATTTTTTAATTATCTACATATCAATGTGAATGATAAAGTTATCATGGTTTGTATTCTTGTATTTTTTTCTTAAATAAACGGGCCTTAAACGTGGTTCCAAAATGAAAGATATTAACTTGACTTCGCAGGCAAATGACAATTTACTGAAAGACAAAATCGGGCCTTCACATGCCAGAATAAAACTAAAAATGTTCGATATGATCTAATCAAATATCAGCTTGGTTAAGAATAATGCATTTCATAATTATTATGACTAATATAGTGGTTTCATTTTCGTTTCTAAATAATGTCTTGAGGTGATAAAATTAACTTACATCTGTTATATTTTCAAGGCGTGTTGAATTGACCGGGAAAACATCTGTTATCAGTTCAAGTATATCAATAGCAGTTGCTATATCTCCGATCAGAAGTGTGTTATTCTCGTTGGTATCTGATGTAGCATTTGATAGGTTGTCCAAAATCTCATTAATAAACACCTGATCTAGATTCTTTTTGTCCTCAATCAGCTTTGATACAAGAAACAACAAAGATTTTAACACTCAAAATATTTGAAAGACAACTTTTTACAATGAAGTGGATCAAAATCAATCTTATGTTATCTAAAAGTGCCTGTGTCACTTAAAGAAAACCAAGAATAAAAATCTCCTCATTTCTTACCTTTCTGTAAATCTGTACAATTGAAGATCTGGTGCAGTTGTAAACAGGGTCCTGATAGGCTCCACTTTCGTTACAGTACTTTGATATAAACACTGTAAAATAATTGAATACTTTACTATTGTAGGCTTATAATCAACTTGCTCATGGTTGGTCTTAGGCTAAAAAATGTACATGTTTTTCTACACTTTCATTGCCAGTAAGTCTATACAACATGATCGATTTTCCTAATGGTGTTAATGTTTTCCTTTATCCTAACCATGTCAGAATTAGATGCTTCGGTTGAAAATATCAAATGTGATAATAAGTATTCTGGTTTATTACTTAATGATTTTTATCAATGGTTTCTACTTCTCCTCGTATACCTATATTGGAATCATAATCAGAAACAACCTACTTTGCTAACATATTTTTTATAACATTCTTGTAAATGTTTTGAATGTTTGAATTCGCTAAAGTTATTGCCAGATTGCCGGAAGACTTAAATTACGATAGTTGTTCGTATACATGCACTGTTTTAATAATTGACGAATAAGTTTGATAATTACTATAAAACTTTACACTGAATATGCCCTTGCTTTTGTCATGTTATGATTGTATTTCTTTTACGTGTTTTGCTGTTACAGTACCTGGACAATCTGCTTTGGTACAAAAGGTACCATGTATATCTTCAAAGTGAAATTAAGCATACAATTTCCTTTTAAGACAAAATACACCCCAGTTTTTGATGGACAGCACACACGAAAACGAATATATTTCTAAAGAAAATCAAATCGTCATGGCAATATACTTACTCAGTCTGTATATTTTTAATGATATACTGATGTGTATCATCATAACATAATATTAACACAAAAGTGAGACACATTTAATCATCACCATCCTCACCGTTATTTTCGTAGGTGTCTTTAACATAATTGTATGAAGCATTTTACCAAATCTTAAAGAAAGTACCTCTGACAAATGTGGTATGTGTCGTTTCTAAGTTGAGAATTAGGTTTTATCATTACACCCTTAAATTTGAAATTGACCTTCAGCAACCGTTTATGACTCACACAAGTTATCATTTTATAAAATTTGACTGCCAATCTTTCAGAGCTTTGCGTTTTATCATTTGCATTTCATATTTATTTTTTATTCCATTTTCATTTATTGTTCCTTTGTAGCTGTCTTTTTCGTCTTCAGATTAAGAAACAAATATCTAAAGCTTTTCATTATTTTTTATTATTTTGTACAATTTTCAAATATTTCCAATCAATCAATTTATGTTCAGTCGCCATTGTAATGCTCAATCTTTTGAAATATACAACTTATTTATCTCAGCTTGACAGTGGGAAAATAGCATACTGTAACTTTAACATTAACTGCATTTTTATAAAGGCGGCTGCTAGCCAACACATTTAAACATTTCCATGTATTTTGGAACTTTTTACCCATCATACCTAACATTGCGGTGCATGACATTTTGTCAAATATGACAATTGGTCGAATATGACAGTTCGTGGACACTATGAGTACGACAACTGATCGAAAATAATTTGTAACACTACGGCGACTAATCGAAAATAAATTTTAATCCTGCAACACTTGAAATCAACCTACCATGCAAGGCGCGCTTGATTAGATAATTATATTGGTAAGTAAATATGAATAATGATCAGCTTTGTCAAAACTACCGTTAACTATGATACATATGGGAAAAATAACAAAAATATTTAGGTGAATTGTTTAACAAAAAAATATGTAATTCCATAACAGAGATTCCATGGATTTCCTTCAAGGAATTGCGTATACTCGTACATGTAATATAAGATATTGACTGTAAGAGTCACATATGCTGGGTTTTTACCATACCGCTCCTACCTTAAGTTGACAGCTGCACCATAACAGCATGAAATAACGCAATATAACATGAAATATTTTATAAGCTAAGTAATACCTTCATTGGTCATATTCAGTGAGTGATTTTTGGCCCAAAGATTTGGGATATCTTTACGACTACTAGCGTAAAAGATTTGAATATGTCCTACTTTAATAGATACATATTCAAGTGGCCAACGACTGAAAATCCACAATCTACCGTGAAGTTCGATCTGAATCTTTTCTATCTGAAAATGTAAACAAAAATCAAACATTTATAAAAGTTGCATTAACACTCCATAATATATTACCATTTAATTTTTTATTGTACGACATATATGTTTAAAGAAAAAATCTTCACAAGGATCAGTACAACAAGTGCTCTAACCATTTCCACTCTAAATATCTTGAAGGGAGTCGTCCATATTTCAATTTGGACGAAAGCTTTTATCATTTTTAGGGGAAATTCAAAAAAACTGACTGAATTGCGGACATGTCCAAACGGCAGTGATGTGTCACCTGATCTTGGCTAATATTGGTGGTATGTGTATAAGATATTGTCGATAGCAGGCTAAGGGTTGCAATGAATATTCAACGTAACTTTTGAAATGTTTCATGATAAGTATATGTAATTATATACAACAGAGGGAAATGAATACCTCTTGGTTTACTATTTAAAGTAAATTTCTGTCTGAATGTATCCTTGCGTGGAGTTGTGCGTGTACGTGCGCGCGCGTGTGTGCGTGTGCGCGCGCGTGTGTGCGTTGGTGAGTGTGTGTGTATGTGTGTGTGAGGGGGTAAGTGGATGTGATTGCATGCGTGCATTCATGTGGGCATACGTACGTGTATTAATTTTTTGTGCATGTATGCATGTTAGGAACGGTGTGCACCTGATGCAAAAGGATGATTAAAAGTCAGCTTTTGACAGATACTACTACAATCTTCTTTGCATAGTAAGAAAACAGAAAGTAAGTTCAATACCCCTCGCATCTACGGCGCTCTCCAATATAACTCTTTCACCCAAAACATTACAACAGATATGTTTTTCACCCATACGCTACTTTGTCTAAACTTTTGCAATTAAAACATTAATGTTTTGGTTAGGTAAAATACAACTGAACAATTATTAAAACAATTCTTCTTCATAAGTTTTTTTTTTAAAACAAATCATAACATACATACCGGTCGAATATCTCGGGCAGAAACGTTGAATGTATCTACATCACCATTCTTAAATGTTCCATTAAGTTGTATTCTTGGTGTTTCTCCCTTCGCTCCAAACAAAGTTATGTAAACGGTAGGAAGTGCATTTAAGAAAAACTTAGACCCAGTTTTAGTACTAATGATGTAATTTATACCTAGTAAAACAAAATGGTTTTCATAATTATCTTGAAGCAGCCAAACTATTTTAAGTTATTTACTACAAATAAACAATATTATGTCATATTTCTAAAAGTACGATAATTTTGTAAAACTAAGTTATCGGTAAATACAGCAATACATACTTGTGTTTATTTAATAAGAAGTTAGAAATGGATACATGTACATTTTATCGTAAACTTATAAATGGTTTGTTTTGTTTGGTTTTACATCGCACTCACATAATTTAGGCCACATGGCGCAAAGGTGACAAGGTGATAAACAAAAAATTAAGCTGCATGCATCCAATAACAACATTTCTTGAGAAAAAATTGTGCCATTGCGCCACAAAATCTCCGTTGCGTAATAAAGTTATACCAGTTCAAAAAATAAATGAACAGCAAAAATTCGGTACACGGTTCACTAGGTCGTATAATAGTGCATGGTGATATTGTTGTTATAATATGCACTGCTACGTTCTATTTTTCGGAAGATGAAATAGTAAAAGCCACTCAGAAAACAATAAACGATTTATACAGTTTAAAGGATTAAAAAGGAACGACCCATTAATTGTAGTGCTAAGTAACTAAATAACGTAAATGATATTTTTTCTGTTTTTTGTTTGTACCGATTTGTTCACTTCGATGTTTTGTTTAAGTTAAGTCGTATTTTGAAGCGGAGCATACGCATAACAATTTTTGTAGACTAATTCTAGTGATTAAGGTTTAAAATGCGATGCATGAGCTTCAATGAGCATAGTACGCAAAAATGGATACCGCCAGCAATCATACTCAACACTGTGGAGGTATGATGACCTCTCCAATAATGGTCAGTAAATATGAATGACGATCAACTTGGTCAAAACTACTGTTAACTATGAAACATAAGGGAAAAATCAAACAGTTTGATTGAACTGTTTCGCAGAAGAATATCTTACTTCATTATTTATACAAAATATTTGGACACATTTTAGTTTGAAGTTAGCTTTGATAATGGATAATAAACAAGATTTTTAATGAGTTCACATAATAGCCGAAAATTAAGTTTTGATGGTTAAATGTATAAACGTTTTAAACATTTTAAATATCGTATAAAATATTTTCGCTAATTCATACTTTATCTATTTTGTAAGTGGGGATATGGAACAGCATAGTTTTTTCAAATCATAAAATACATGATATAAAATTATAGAAAAATCAGTAGTTACTTATCAAAACGCAATGCCATAATAATAATATATGTATAATCAGCTATGAAAATTTCTGACAAGTTAAAAATCATATGCCTTAGTATAAACAGTTGTAAAGATATATAACTCAAACAGTTATTCAGGGATTATATAATCATATAAATATCAAAATAAGTTAAAACGAATCTATGATACTGCCTGAAAAATCGCAATATTTGATTTTTAAAATGAATGTTATTACACTTTGTCGCAGCAGTTTGTATAAGTAATTAAAAGTCACCATGACGGTCATCCATTTAGCATTAACGTTACAAACCTGTGATTTGATGTGATTTCAAGTGATCTTTCATTTTTAAAATGAATATTATTACATTTTGTCGCAGCAGTTTGTATAAGTAATTAAAATCTCACCATGACAGTCATCCATTTAGCATTAACGTTACCGTGATTATTTGTGATTTCAAGTGCTCTTTGATTTTTAAAATGAATATTATTACACTTTGTCGCAGCAGTGTATATAAGTAATTAAACCTCACCGTGACGGTTATCCATTGAGCATTAACGTTACAAACCTGTGATTTGACAGGACTTGGAGTGATACGAAAAGACGTCAAATGGATGTACATTTTGAACTGAATAACGTTTCAAACGCCTAATATTTCGTAAAATATTTCGCTAATTTAAACTTTATCTATGTTTTAAGTCGGGATAGTGAATAGCATAGTCTTTTTAAAAATACTTAATACATGATATTAAAATAAAAAAAAATCATTAGTCACTTCAAGTATAGCGTCTTTGAAATTTTATTTAGTGCAGAATAATTAAATAAATGACAAAATAATCTTACGATTATCATCTGCTGAAGCCGAAGTTGTTGTTGTCAGAATATATATGATTCCTAACAAAACTGTATTCACAAATGGCGTTGGAATTATCTTAAACATTGTATACAGGCATGTAATCCGAATTTATCACATTAGTAGATGGCTAGCTTTCCCCGAATGCCTTTATAGCACTGCTGATAAACTGTATATCGTCATATCAAGGCTAACCAACATTATTTGTTTCATGTAACCCTATACATCTGCACAGCTTTTTATTTATGCACGTTTGTAACGTCGCTTATTATTGGATCATCGTGACGTTTAAATAAACTGTTAACTCGGCTGCTATCAATTTATGCAGTAATATTTTTTTCTCTTATAAAGGAGTTTGCTGTATTATAAACTATTCAAAAAGATAAGATTCTTGACGGCCCGTTTGTAAACGACCATATAACACGTGAAAAATCGTTATAATTAATATTGAAGATCTGTTGGTAAATATATGTGTAAATTATTTATAGTTAATATAAAGATTTGTGTAAAAAAGATAGTTTTACAAATACCTATTCCGAGACGCTGAACATAAACTGTATATACAAGGCAATTTAAGATATCAATTTATTTAAGATTTTATACTTGTACAATATACAGTGAAAACCCTATTTTAGAGATAAAGGCCGATTCTTTAGCCTACAAACAATTAATGGGACCTCGACAAGAGATCTCTATTCAATGATTCCGCTGCAATCATGTTAATTGCGACGAACTAATATTTTATTCATAATTAAATAATGTTGAAAAACAATTAAAGAAAATATTAATTGTTTTAATTAGTTGACTAAATAAGCTGGAGAATCCAGGTACAGATCCTACGACTCTACACTAATTCTTTGTTTTCCAAACGGCTTCAAACAAGCGTGAATAACTACAAGAGTATTTGTTGCTGGTGCTTCCATTATTGTTAATGCAAGAAATCAAACTAAAATTATTCTGAATCGTGGACGTACACTGCGTGTCAAGAGTTATGTTGCTGTTTCTTTCTTTAATATGTTGTTGTTGCTCTTGCTTTGTTGTTGTTGCTGTTTTCTTTTTTAGCTCAGAGATTTTATATTTAAGTACTATATCCATAATATAAAGCTTTTAATGTTAATTACTACTTACTCCTTTCATTACAAGAGAAACAGATAATGTAGTAATGTTAAAATGATCCTGCATTTAAGTGTATTTTTCGCATTGTTTAAAATATTTTCGAACAAATCATTTAAAATCTAAATGACATAAAAATAAAAATAGATCCTGTATTGTATGAGGAATCTTCTTTGCGCAGAGAAATAATGATTGCGAAACAATTATACAAAACATTAATTTTATTAAATTATATAAAGATAATTGCAGGCACTGCAAACATTTTAAATTTGATTAAACGATAACCTTCTAGGACCCTACTTAACTACCTGTAATACTTTGAGGAGGAAATTGGTTCATTAATACAAATGATGCACATGTTAGATAATAACTAAGATTATCTTTTTAAGGTTTAGGATGACAAAATATGCGGAAATATCTACTTTTACGTGTGAATATTTTTTAGCGATGAAAGGATGATTTTTGTAATAATCAGATTGCATCACCTTTAACTTTAATGTTGTAGTAAAACGCTATTAACCGCCTCAATTCATTGTTTTCTTTAGCGAGGATTCAACAGTCCTTCTCCCCACCCGATCATGGTTTATTATCTGCTACCAGAGCTACATTACTAGTACTCTTACTGGTACTGCAGTACGTACTGAAGTGAATTGCAAGTACTGGTACTGATACTGAATTACTCTTACAAAATGTTGCTACTACTTATACTGGTTCTGCATTACTGTCCTAAAAAGTGGTACTGTTACTGCATTACCATGCAGTTCTTTAGGTTTTAATGAAAATGTTATAAATGTTTCTCAAAAATAGGAGCTGTAAATCCTATGTATTATTTATCCATACATAATTTACTGCAATATTGTTTCAAATGTTAACATTGTATTCATCACATGAAGAAGCACCAACGAATTGAAGTACAATAAAATTGCGATAAAGAGGCTAAATAAATCTTTACCGTAAGATATGCTTATAACAATTCTTTATTACTTTGTATTTACTTGCACAAATGAGCAAGATAAAAACTAATTAATTGCTTCTATTCAAAATAACCCCATTTTAAGTGATATTGTTAGCACAATAAAAAGTTATAATTTACTTTGGTATAAATTGAACAGAGGTGTGAAGGTATGAAATGCAACAAAAGACTGTTTTAAATGAATGTTGATTGCATTGTATGACAGCTGACTGGTTACATAACAATAAGATATAACATGAATATGATATGTTCTTAATATTGTTTTTAAAAAGTACTTTAAATCATGAAAAGTTATAAAATGTAATGTTAACTTTAAAGTAAATGTTATTTTTTGCTGAATAATGATTGCATTTTTTTTTAAATTAAACTATACATGCTCTTTTGACACTGTGCATTTATTCAAACTTTGATGAATTCATAAAAGTAATGGTACTGATACTTAATTTACTTCCCCCAAAAAAGTACTGGTACTGCAGTACCAAGCTAAAATCTAGTAGTGGTACTGGTAATGGTACTGCATAAATTGGTATTTACTGGTACTGGTACTTAAGTAATACATCCTTAGTACTGATGCAGTTCTGTCTGTTACTAGCACATATTTATTAGCCTTATTAAGCTACTACTAGCATGAACATAATGAGCCTTTCTTACTATTGTATGATCCTATGACTTGTACTAACAAAAGAAGCGATGAAATTAGCAAATGAAATAAGAGTCAAGTTCAAGTGCATTGGAGACAACAAAGAAAGAAAGTTTCGAGTTTTAGTCAAATGGTAAGTAGCTCACGAACATTTTAGTTGGCATCATTATGTTCACATTTAATAGTGATACTCGATTTCAACTTTTTTATTTGACAAATTGATCCAGTAGAGTATGAAATAATTAAGACACTGATTTAGTTCAGTGTACAAAGTCAAACAATAAGGTGGAGAAAATTCATCTATTAGAAAAATGCAAACTTTCTAATATAATAGCAATGAATTACAGCCAGACATAAAACAATAAAACAATAGAAAAAGCGAAAAAAAACAAGACCAGATAAAATAACCACAATTTAAACTTACTTCCGTTTCAGTAAGTGTATGGAAATTTCTATTTAGAATATAAAAAAAATAGCATTACCTCCCATTATAGAAATCGTTAACTATTCAACGATAATCACCCTTACATATCGCTGATTTTAGTATCTTCTTCCATCAATTCCAATGCCATTTATCTTCCTCTATTAACATTTAAAGGTTAAACATAATGCATATTAATGTGCGCTTAGTAAGTATTGAATGTATTATAACCAAATAACAAAGCAAATTATTGGCAAATACTATATCAACTGTTGATTTTTATCAGAACGTTTAATGTCACCAAAATATCATTGGGATAATACCTTTAGTTATACAACCCTTATCTTACCATACAGACGGAAATTGAAACTTATCACATAAACATTAACATCAAAAACAATTAGTCTAACAAACAAGAGGGCCATGATGGCCCTGAGTTTCTCACCAGAAACAAAAAGGTAGGTCAAGCGTTATCATTAATATCAAAAGTAGGTAAGCTGATACAGTATCAAAATTCCATTCGGCATCAGAAATTACACTACCGGTCCAAACTTCAAGTTTGTATGTCAAAAAACAAGAAAATATGTCAAATGGTGTCAAATATATCATAAATAGGTCAACAATTACACCCTTAGTCCAAATTTCAAGACTGTTTGTCAGAAAACAAGGAAGTACATGTAGGTAAAATATCAAAAATAGATCAGATTATATCAAAATTTGATTCGACATCAGAAATTACACCCTTGGTCCAAATTCCATATCTGTATGTCAAAAAGGAAGAAAGGAGATCAACTGATATCAATTATATCGAAGGTTGGTCAGCTGATATCATCATGCAATATGACATTAGAAAATTACACCCATGGTCCAAATTTCTAGACTGTACATAAAAAAGAAGAAAAAAGTAGGTCGTGCGATACAAAAAATATCAAAAGTAGGCTAGTGGATATAAAAATTCAATTCAGGATCAGAAATTTAACCCTTGTCCTAATTTCAAGTAGGTACATCAAAAACACTAAAAAAAGGTCAAACGATATCATTAATATCAAAAGTAGTCAGTTACTATATTAATTCAATTTGCATCAGAAATTGCAGTCCTGGTCAAAATTTCAAGTCTGTACATAAAAAAAAAACAGTAGGAGAAATCTCTCAAAAATATAAATAACAGCTCAACTGATAAAATTCAATTATGAACATGAAACATCAGGCAAATTTTATTGAAATGTGCCTTCTCCAAGTTTGAATCCAATTCAACAAAAATTGACAAAAAAAACAAACAATTTTTAACAAAATTCAATAAAAAATAAAGAGCATCTCTGTTTGTAAGTTATAGGAACAAATATAATCTTTCTTTAGGCCTAATTTTATTTCCTGTGGGAAAATTCTTTACTGAGTACACTGACCTACAAAAGAACCTGCAGAAAGATGAATAGAATGATGCAATCAATGGGAGTCCGAATTCTAGAGCTTAATGTTATTTGATGATTTTATTTTATTGTTTTTATTGTTACCTAGCAAACAAGATTGCATTCATAACACTAAATTTTAAGCTAACAAGAATGCATACACAAAAAATAATAGTACCACAAATATATTTTGCCATAGTGAGTTTTGGGGTCAGGGTCTTATTTAAGCATGTCAAATGAGAAACAATGTGCAGATATGTCTTCTGTTTAGATACAAAGCACATAGTGTAATTATTGATTCAATGTAAAAGGTATTCTTAATTCACAAAAAATGAAGCATTTACTGTATAACATAGCTGTATACTGTCTTACCTTTAAGTATTACCTATTTCTGAAAACATTTACAATTTAAAATCATCACTAGTGACAGGGTATTGTTAATCATTATGTATATATTAGTGTTCTTTCATGCAGTTCTACATAAAGGCAATGATAGTGACAGGACAATGTTTCTAATTTTTGTAGAACAGCTACGGATAAATACTAACATATTAAGTGTCCAGCTTTATTTGTCATCCTATGAAAATGCTGCATTTCTTAAAAAATTGTGTGTGTTATTTTCATAGAAGAACAAACGTTGATACTATATCAAAATCTGTTCATAGTAGCCTTCTTTTTATCATAGTGTGCCATAGAACCACGTTAATAAAAATAGACATGTAGTGATGTAATTAAGTGAATATGAATGAAACCAAATAAAGCTTGATACTAAGTCCTTATAATGTGCTCAAGTTATTTCATAAATATCATTTCTCTTGCAAGAGGTCATGACCTAAAACAATTTCATCAGGAAACAGGCCATTCACATGTATGAAAGCCATTCAAACATGAGTTGTTTCCCTTTCATTAAACTATTATTTGTAGGTCATCATCTTGGGTATTTTAGCTTTAGCAGCCCCTAAAAGGGGCCAATCAAATTAATATGAGCAATGTTTATAAAATATTACTATAAGAATGCTAATAACAAAGTTTGGTGATCATCCATCAATAAGTTCTGTAGAAAAAGCTGTCTAAAGATTTATATTTTTAGCTCCCTTGATCCCTAAAAGGGGCCAATCAAATTAATATGAGCAAATTTGATAAAAGACCACCTAAGAAAGCTACAGACACAGTTTGGTGATCATCAACAAATTGGTTCTGTAGAAGAAGAAGGCTTTTCTATTTTTAGCTCTCTTGACCCCTAAAAGGGGCCTATTAAAATCATATGAGCAAATTTAGGTGTGACTGTACCAAGGATGCTACAGACCAAATTTGAAGTAAATCTGTCCAGCGGTTTCAGAGAAGAAGATGATTGTTGAGGCATGTAAAAACACCGCTTAAACTGACTAAGATATATAAAAAACACTTTTTAATATTTAACAGATGTACAGAGGAAGACATCAAAACAGAATTTTGGAATTCATTACATTTGTGTGCAAAGTTATAAAATGAATTTCAAAGATCTCAGTCAGTTTTAATGGTGTTTTTAAATAATGTTTACGAACGGAACATCCAGGCTGTCAATTGGTCTAAATAACTTGTTATTTGAGCATTCAATAAAATTATAATTTCATATTTAGCAAATAGTATTTATTGCAATTGTCACACATATAGCTTAAAATAATGGCTTGTGCTTGGCATTTTTAGGTTAGGAATAGTTGTAAGAAACTTGTTAATAAAGCTATGTAAAATATGATCATATTAGATAAAAAAACAATTAATTATCATATATTTTGCAATGATATATAGACGAGTTTAAAATGGAAATTGATGTGTAATATTAAATCATATACATGTATACAAGTTTAATGAATAAACTTACTGCATGTTACTCCTTATATAAAAAAGATGAACATAATAATGATGAGAGGATAATCTTGATAACAAAAATAATATTAGAGTAATTTTTTGCAAATTTCATTTTTATTGCAAAACTCGTTGTATTGCGAAATCGATTGTAACATGGCTCTTTCTATATTAACATAATATAATGTTTTGCGTATCGTAAGCATAAAATCTGTTTTTATTGCAGATATAAAAATAGAGCTGAACAACTTAGACAGACAAATTGGAAAAACAGCAATAGCTTTAAATACAATACTGCAAGACGAGCAAACCGTAAGGATATATGCCAAAGAAATTTGCGATCTGCATGATACCAAGTAAGGACAAGTACAGGCTTTATTCAATTCAACTTAAAGATTCAATTAAACAGTGGCGAGTGTGCAGCACTTTGGAAAAAACAGAA